ATAAAAATACTGCAAAATTGATTATTAGATATATGCAATTATATCAAAAATGTCCTGAATTGGTTGGTTGAAAACCTGATTTAAAAATTCTTAAATGACCCAAAATAGTTGGCAACACCAAAACAACAAAACAGAACACCAAAAAGATGAAATAAAAGCACCAAGAAGGAGACTGATGTTAGGACGAGTCATTAGATAAATTGCTTTGAGACCAATTGACCTGAAGTCCAGCTGGAGAGATCTCAGGACAAAGCTCTGTCCTGCTCTGTCCAAGTCAAAGATGCAGAAGGCGACCCAGCCGCTGTGCCCTGGGGCTCCCAGGCCAACGAGGAGCCCAATACCCTGCCCCAGGAAGCAGAGAACCTGGGCAGATGCGCAGTGGAGAAAGCAGCAAAAAGAGAGGAGGGGGAGCAGTGCCTGGGGGCATCCAACCTGCCAGAGCTCTCGCCCATTGCTGCTCTCTGCCTCCACCCTCCGTCTCCTCTGCTTGGGTGATCCCAGCAGCCTCCTAACGGGCCTCCCTGCCTCTCCTCTCTTCCTCCTTCCAGATCACCCTCCAACCAGCTGATATTTGGATCTTTTTAAAAATGCAGTACTCAGCCTGTTATTCCCCTGCTTAAAACCAAATAATACTTCTTGTCCCCACCCCCACAGGATAATGGCCCTCAGGAAAAGTCCAACCCCACACAGGATCTGGTCCTTGCCTGCCTCTCCAGCCTCATTTCCCAACACTTTCCCTCATGGGCAATACTCCAAATTAGCTACCCTTCACTCACCCACCTGGCCCTTTCTCTTCTCCTGGACATATGCTGGTGGCTCTCCAGGGGACATCCATCTCCCCACTTCCCCTGCACAACTAGCAAAGCCTCACCTAGTGGGAGCAGGGGAGGGGTGAGGGACTCCAACATGGGAGATGGGAACGCTTGTAAGAAGAGACTGGGGTGACTGGCTTGGCTGTCCAAACTGGGGTTTTCCATTGGTGAAGGGTGGGGAATACACCCGCTGACCCCCCGGCCTCCAGCTCTTGATTCCTGATCTTGTCTCTGTCCTCCTTGGCTGATAAATTCCTTGCATAGCTTTCTCAGTGACGTCATACCGGTACAGTCTCATCCTCTCTCTTTTGGCAGCAAGAAACAGAAACCTACTCAAATTAGGTCAATAAAGAGGGTTTTCATTGTAAAGATACATAGATCTCTAGGAGGAAGATGAATACAGGAGCTCCTCTAGCCCTCATGCTCAGGGACGGGAAAGCTGACGGGCACTCTCTTCTGTCTGTCAGGGACCATATGGTCCCTCATCTTTGCTCTCAGTGTCTCTCTTTCTCTCTCCTGTCAGCTTTATTCTCCTGGGCTTGTCCACACGGTAGGGAACATGGCCTTCTGCAGCTATGGGTCCCACTGGATCAGAGAGCAAAGGGACTTTCCTGGTGCACTCCACATGGAAAATTCCAGGGAAGGACCCTTGTTGGCTGGGCTTGGGTCACAAGACCGCCCCTAGATGGCTTACTGGCCAGAGGAATAGGCAAGGCCTGGGACTTGTGCCCTCCCCTGTAATGAGGGTTAGGCTGCTGTGATTGAGATCATATCAAAAATACAAGGTTGGAGCAGAAGAGAAGTTGCCAAAAGAAGAAGTCCTACTAGCTGGTTTCCTTTGGCCTTGTTTTCCATTCCCTGACATCCCATCAATGCCCAAGTTCAGTCTTCAAACAACACTCGCTCTCTCCCCATCGCCTGTAGGACTAAGTACTCATCACAGCATGAGAGGACCTCCACTGACTGATGCCGTCATTCCAGCCAAACATATTGCTCCTCAAACACAGCCTCTCTCTCCCTCATGGCTTTCAGAACTGCCACAGCCTAAGAAAACGATTTTCTGATCTATACTAAAGGAATACTTCCGTTGTGAAGTCCCAAGGTTCTTTCTCTTAGTTCTTTTGCAGATTGTGTTTCTGTCTGCCTTGCACTACAATTGTTTGTGTGTGGTCTACTCTCCACTTGAGAGCAGGGTCCGTGCCCTGCTCCCCTTGGCATCTGCCCAGTGTTTTCTACAGCTCCCAGCAGGGATTCAGGAAGTACTGTATTCCTTTAACCAGATAGAGTTAAGCAATATGTAAAGGATACCTACAGAAACACACCTACTTTTTCTAGGATTTTTGATTATTCAAGCCTGATTACTATTCCTTCACCTCTTGAAAAGAGCAGAATAAAGGTTCATATAAACCAATTACTGAGTGAATACTCTAAATGCCTGAGAGCATGAGCTTTCTAAACACCCATCTGTGCTTCATAACACTTTATAATAGACAGTCCATTTGGTTTTATATTTAAATTGTTATCTGTTCAAAAAATCAGATCTTTGAAAAAGCTAATTAAAATATTGTTTTCCCCAGACACATGTTCAAACAGTCTTGAGGAGAGCCCACACATTTGTATTTTTAATAACTGCCCCAGATCAGGGGCTGGCAAACTGTACGCCATTGGTCAAATCCAGCCCAGTGGCTGTTTTGTAAATAAAGTTTCATTGGAACACAGCCACATCCATTCATTAACATCTTGTGTTTGGCTCCTTTCGTGCTATAACATCAAAGTTGTGTAGTTGTGACAGAGCCCATATGGCTGGTGAAACCTAAAATATTTGCTATCTGACCCTTTAGAGAAAAGGTTGCCTCCCCTGCCTAGATGAATCTACTGACAGCTGATCCATGTAACTTCAGAGGGTTAACATGAGGATTAAATGAGTCCATGTAAACCCTTGGAGCCGTGACTGGAAATATATACCTGCTCAATAAGTGCTTGCTGTGGTTTTCTTTTCATCTGCTAATGAAGTAAATTACATTAATAAATTTCCTGATTACACTAACTTTGCATTCCTATAATAAACCCAACTTGATCATGATGTATTGTGTGACTGTATTTGCTAATATTTAATTTAGCAATTTTAAGTTCTCTGTTTATCACTGACATTAACCCATGGATTTGCAAGTGTGCTTTGTCTTGTTTTGGTGTTGGTATTCTCCTTGTCTGATGTGAGCATTCAAGTTCAACTATCCTTTCAGAATGACCTGAGAAATGTTTTGCCTTTTTCTAAGCTCTGAAACAGTGTCTGTAACACAGGAATTCCATTTGCCTTGGCCATTGGGTAGCACTCACCCCTGAAACCATATGCGCTTCATGCCCTTTGTAAGGACAGATCATTGTCCACCTTTCTACTTTCTTCTAAGGCTGTGGGTGTATTCAGGATTGCTGCTGCCTCTTAACAGAATTTTGATCATTTATGCTTTCCTGGAAAAGCATTACATTTGCATTTTCAAATTAATTGGCATGTAGTTGTACATAGTTTTTCCTTATAATTTTTTTAATATTTTATCTGTAATTATCCCCCAATGCTCATTCCTAGTGGTATTTATTATAGCTTTGATTTTTTAGTTAGATATCATTATTTTCTCTTTTTTGAACAATCAACTTTTAATTTTGCTGATCAAATTTCTTTTTTTATTGTTATCTATGCATATAATTTAAGAATATGTTTGACTACAATTAGCATAAAACTTGATTTTCAAAGGTTTAAGCAAATTTGTTTTTCTCATGTAACGAGAAGTCAAGAGATAGCATTTGCTGGTGTTGGGCCATCTGCTCGGCACTGTCATGGGGACCCAGGCTCGCTCTGTCTTTCTGCTCTGCCATCCTCCGCACATAGACTTTTGTCCTCGTGCTTGTTGCCTCGTGGTCCAGAGGTGGCTGTTGCTCCAGACGTCACTCCACAATAAAGGCAGCAAGGAGAGAAGGACAAGGGGAAGGTCCTTCTCGGTCTGGGGCTCTGTCTTTTCAGGAGTGAAGACCTTTCCTCCCCCAGCAGATCCCCGTACTTCCCTGGTCAGCACCAATGCAGCTGCAAGAAAGACCGAAACCGAGACTTTGGCTCTCTAGATTCCACAGCAGAGGAAGCGAGGACGGAGAGGGAAGTGGGGCTGCGTGTGGATGAGCCACCTCTCAGATTGGCCACGTGGCCGTTACTGGCTGCTTTTACCGGTGTTACATCCTTTGCTCTGGTCTACCCACCATAGTAAAATAATCCACTGGAGTAATAGTGGATTTGAAAATTTCTCCTTGAATTTCCAACAGTGTTTTGGTTTTGATTTTGTTTTGTTTTGCTTTATAGCATTTATGCATTTCCAAACCATGTTAACATATTAATCTAAAATATCTCTCTTTGGCCTGCTTAATTTTTTTTTTAAAGATTTTATTTTTTCCTTTTTCTCCCCAAAGCACCCCCGGTACATAGTTGTATATTCTTCGTTGTGGGTCCTTCTAGTTGTGGCATGTGGGACGCTGCCTCAGTGTGGTTTGATGAGCAGTGCCGTGTCCGCGCCCAGGATTCAAACCAACGAAACACTGGGCCGCCTGCAGCAGAGCGCATGAACTTAACCACTCGGCCCCGGGGCCAGCACCCTGCTTAATGTTTTTTATCTTAAATTTTATTTGGTCTGTAATGACTCTTGCCACACCTGCAGTCATTTTCTTGACATTTTCTTCATCTACTGTTTCCCATCTCTTTCTTTTTAATCTTTCCGTGTCGTTAGGTAATGGACATAGCGTGCCGCTGGCTTTACTTCATCTGAGTCTTGGCTTTTAACAGGGGATATAACGCATTCCAAGGTATTTCGTTTTTTTTACAGGTATGGACCTAAACTCCTGAAATCTTGTTTAATGTTTTTGGGGGGGGCTTGTTTTGTTTTTTTTCAAAGATTGGCACCTGAGCTAACATCTCTTGCCAATCTTTTTGTTTGTTTGTTTTTTCCTTCTTCTCCCCAAAGGCCCCCAGTACATATCTGAATATTCTAGTTGTAGGTTCTGCTCGTTCTGCTGGGTGGGACGCTACCTCAGCATGGCTTGATGAGCGCTGCTAAGCCTGGGCCCAGGATATGAACCAGCAAAACCCTGCGCTGCCAAAGCAGAGCCCACGAACTTAACCACTGGGCGACAGGGCTGGCCCCTAATGTTTTTTATTTACCATTTTTTTCTTATTTTTTCTGGATTTTATTTGATTAGTAGAGTTTTCTTTGACCTAAACTTTTCTAGTAGTTTGGAAGTTATACCACCTTGGATTTTTATCCTACAGCTTACTGAAATTAAATTTTTACTTCACCATTTAAGGATAATCAGTATCCTTTTCTTTCTCTGAACAAAACTGGAACTTTAACATGTTTTTCCACTTTATTCACAACTCCTCCCATGTTGTAGTTATTATATATAACAATATATAAAATTATTATCATCCGTATGATTATCATGGGTACATATCATTGTGTGGTTATCATGTACATCATGTCTGTTTAATCATCTAGGCTTAACTGGGCATGGGAGGGCCTCAGCCATCTGCCCCTGGGCTGGAGTCAGAACCCCTTGGGCCAGAGGGAGAAGGGTCCTTCCCCGGGCTGCAGTTAGGAACCTCACACAGCTGCATCAGCTTAGTGAGAGCAGATGATGTACTTGGGGGGGGCCTCCAGTCCTGAGGGTCAGTTTCTCTTTTGTGCCCCTTGCCCCAGAGCCCAGCCCCCAGCCCCAGATTCAGATTCATTCATTGTGAGACATCAGCCTGGAGTGTGGGACCCCAGGAGCCACAGAGAACCTGGCAGTGACCTGGCTGAGCAAGGGCCTCCCCAGGGAGTTGGAGCCGAGAGAGACACTGGGGCCAGCCCCCGACTCCAGGAATCTAAGCCTGAGCCTGCCCCTGGGCCAGTTGAATGGCCACCTCACCTGTGTGGTCAGCAACCCTGTGGACAAGAAGAATGCAACTTACACCTGGAGAACATCTGTCCATCGGCGGGTGAGTGTGATCTGCTGGGAAGGGTGACGAAAATGGGCTAGCAGAGAACGGGGGAGGGACGAGACTGGGTGGGCTCAGGGAATGTGGTGGGACAGGGGAATGTTTTAAGGCACCTGATGTGGTGCAACCAAAAGTTCCCCTGCCTGGTGAATGGCCACACCCTTGTTATAGTCTAACTTGCAACTCCAGAAATTGGACCAACGTGTGGAGACTGCTGCATCACCCAGGACATAAATCTGGGACTGGCATGTGGGCACCCCCTTTCCCAGCACTGAGGAGCCCAGAAGACTGAATTAGTCATCAGAATCCAAGCAGGGGAGGAGGAGGACTTGAGGATTAAGGACTGAGGATTCCCTAGACCTGGAAAGCTCATGTCGCCCAGACTCAGGCCCTCCCTGGATGGGCTGGAAAAGCTTAGCACATTCAGGCTGGAAGATGGCCATTTTTTGCTGCATGACAGATGTGCCATTTCTGAGATGATTAACACCTCTGAGTAAGTAAACCAAAGTTCAACCACCCACTGAGCAGTGAGAGCACCTGTGGTCACTACAGCCAGTTACACACTTCCCCCATCAGCCTAAGGGGTCACCCTGCTAGATAAAGGGACGGTCCAGGGTATGTTAGGGGGTGGAAGCCCTTACAAAGGAGCCTTGGGACCTGGTTTCATAAAATACGAAACCTCCTACTTTCCCTAGGATTATGCAGCAGGAACAAGGGATGGAAAAAAGGAGGATGAGTCCAGCGGCCTCCTCCCACCCACATCCCCCTAGGCTCTGCTTGCTCACGTGGGGCTCCCGTCTGAACAGTCTCCTCCATGTCATTTCCTCACTCGCTCAGCCACCCAGCATTCAACCCTCGCACTAGGACTGAAGGCCTACCATGTGCTGGGGGGGCGTCAGTGAGCCGTAAGCTGAGCCCCGCCCTCAAGGAGCTCAGAGTGCGGTAGGGCATCACCACATACCAGCTGTGTGACCCTGGACAAGTCGCTTGATTTTTGGAGCCTTTTTGTAAGATGTGCAATAATTGTATCTACTTCATAGGGCTGTGGTGCAAACTCAAAGGGGAATCTATGGAAAGTTATCAACACAGTGTGTGGTATAGATTGAGTCAATAATTATTAGAAAATACTTCAAAGAAGAGGAGGAGTAAATTTCTAAATATAAAGCCACATAGTAAGTGCTGAAGTCACAGCAAATACAAAGGATATGGTTCAAGCACAAAAAAGAAAGAAAGAAACTGAGTAACTGCTGCAGGAGTTGGGAAAGGCATCACAGAGAAAGGAACACCTGACTTGGGCCTTGAAGGATGAATAGGAGTTTTCTTGTGGCAGAATGAGAAAGATACCCCAAACAGAGAGCACAACGTGTCCTGAGGTCTGGTGACCCCAGATTCTTCCATTCTCTCTCCCTCTTGGGATACACTTCTCTTCTAGATTCTGAGAGGTGAAAAGAGATCCAGGTTGAGGGGATGAGCAATGGCACATCCAGCTAGCAGGAGCCTCCAAGTTTCCAGTGCAGAGAAAAGACATAAAACCTAGCAGAAGAAACATTAAAGTGACAGTGGGAAGTGTGCAGGGAGATTAGAAAGGAGGAAACCTCTCAGGGCTGCATCAAGGATGTCCACTTGGGATACAGGTCCTGAGCCAGGGTGGTCCCACCTCCTCCCCCTGCCTGCACCAGGCCTGACTGAGGCAGACCTGACACCAGCCTTTGACCCCACATTCATTTCAGAGCAAACGGCTTTGGAGAGGCATCCGTCCCACGGTTCTGATGGTGGGCCTGGGCGCTGGAGTGTGGATCTGGATGAGGAAGAAGACGGAGACTGGGAGAGGTAGGTGCTGGAGAGACGCTGAGAGGAGCAGTGGGATGGGGGGCCTGGAGGACACCCCAGGGAGCGGGGCAGGACTGGGCAGGACAATGGGCAGACAGAGGCTCATGGACCTCTCCTGTGAATCATCCCTGGAAGGCTGGGGTACAGCCTGCTGGGGGTGGGAGCTGAGAACATGCCCAGGAAGGAAGGTGATGTGTGGCAGGGACAGGGCAGGGGTCTGGGACCTGAGCTTACAGCCTGGGGAGCAATAGCTGCCCTCACCCGAGGGCTGATGAGGGGTCACCTCAATTCCACGCAGCCTCATTGAGTGTCTGCTGTGTGCAGGTGGGTCTGCTCTCCTGCCCGAGGGGCCCAGCTCAGCAGCTGCTCCCCAGGCCCTTCCCACAGAAGAATCTGCTGACCTGCACACTGGTGGGGCTGATAGCCACGACTCCCCCTACATGAAGATCAGACTCCTGGGACACCCTGAGGTGGGTCTGAAGGAATCAAATCAGGTTGACCAACATCTACTCAGAGGTCATGAATCCCGGGAAGTCCAGGGTACTCTGCTCCTTGTCGGGCTCTGGGTTCAATCCTTGCTTTGGATGATATGGTTGCTGTGCCCGGGCACTCACAGGATGCTGGGAGCTGAGGTGCAATGAGAGGAAACCACCGATGAGGAGTACACCTCAACCAACTGTCCACAATCTCATCAGATGTCGCTGCCACCCAGGGAGGAGGGGTGGCAGAGCAGGAGAGGCAAGAATGTAAATGGACAGGTGTCTGGTAGACCCTGCCATCTGCATAGGACCCAAAGGAAGCAAAAGCAGGTGAGACCAGCAGGGCCTGGAGGTTGGGCAGACCCAAGTATCTGAGGAACATTGGGAAATCTCCTCCTCCCCGCAGTCTGTCTCCCTCCTACCTACCTGAGATCCTGCCATTAATGCCACCTGTTTGGATAAAGGCATTGTTGTCACCACTGATGAGATGTCCCAGGGAAAGCATCTCAAGTGGCCACTGGCCCTTAGATGGAAATTGGTGCCATGGTCACCGATGGAATGATTACAACAAGGGGGCAGACCTGGAGACAGGACAACTGTAGGAGCAGAGGACAGTCAAGGGACTTCCCTAGAAGCAATGGTTCTCAAACTGAGCTCACATCGGAACCCCATGGAGAGCATGGTAAAATAAAGTTTGCTGGGCTGACTCCAGACTTTCTGATTCAGCAGGTCTAGGGAGACCCGAGCATTTGCTCAATTCTAACACGTTCCCAGAGGATGCTGACACTCCTGGTCCAACTCTTTGAGAACTACTGGGCTAAAGAGAGATCAGGGGAAAAGCAAGTAGAGCCACTGTCTGGACATCCAGGACTAGCCAGTGGCCGGGGCCTCTCTTCTCCCCTCCTTTCACTTTTCTAAAGAGGGAGCACTCTGGCTCATTGTGCCACAGAACATCAGGATCTTAGAAATCCCTTGGTCTGGTCCCAGCAGTTTAGAGTTGGGAAAGTGGAGCCCAGAAGGAACAGTGGGGATTGGGCAGAGAACCACGTAAGCACAGGGCAGAACAGGGGTGTCCTCACTACAAGTCCAGTGCTCTGTGCACTGTGCCCAACTGCCTTAGTGCCTGCCACCTTGCGACTTCCCATCTCAGCCCCTCTGAGTTATGTCCCCATCTGACCTGGGCCTCAGGGAACTCAGGAAATAGCTCCTTGGGCCCAAACCCCAATTCCCCCTACCAGAGGAGCACAGGAGGGGAGCAATGTGTGACTTTGGGACAGAGAAACAAAGCAGGCCACATCTGACCCAGACACACAGCCCTGCCCTAAAGCCCCTGCCACCAGAGTCCCTGCCCTTGGGGCACTCCCGGTCTGATGGAGAAAACGAATTCCCTGCCAGGACACAGGGAGAGAACAGAGAAGAGAGATGGGAGTGGCATGAAGCAGCAGAGTCCAGAGAAATGGATGTGAAACCCACCTCTGATACTGACTTCTTGATTGACCTTAGAAAAGTTACTTTACTCCCTGGGCCTCAGTTTCTTCTTCTATAAAGTGAGGATTATAGTAATAACACCTTACATTTATCTGATGCTTTGCAGTTTTTCAAAGCACTTTTGCAATGAGGGCAGTCAAGGTGATTGACAAATTTGTCCAAGAAATATTTACGGAGTGTCTACTATGTTCCCAGAATTGTTCTGATCTGGGCTGCACGATTCAACAGAACAACAAAAATCCCTGGCCTCCTAGAATATACGTTCTAGGTTGGGGGAGGGGAGAATGACAAATAAAATAAGCAAAACATGAAGGGTCAGATGACGATAAGTGCTAAGCAGAAAATAAAGCAGAGAAGAGGGAGGGAGGGATTGGGTGCGATTTTAACAAGCTTGTCAGGGAACCTCACCAAGAGATGAGCGAAGTGGGGGTCTTGGAGGGTGTGGGCGGGGCGGGGAGAGGGCTAGCATCCTGGGTCTAGGACAGAGCAAGTGGCAAGATTCTGCAGTGTTCAATGGAGAGTTCCGCACCGAAGCCGTATTCTGGGGAGTTGTCAGGATGGAGAGCCAGAACTACCTGGTTGAGGACAAGAGGCACATGAAGAGATGTAGCTTGAATAACCCTGTTCCTAATTCTTAGAAACTGACCAAGACCACTCCTAAACTCTTCTTGAATTGTAGGAAGACATGGAGAAGGGCAGCTGCCATTCATACAGCCCGAGTGTGCTCCAGTAGTCCACACTATCTTTGAGAAGATCCAGAAAAGCCCAGAACCCCAGGGTGACACCGAGGCCGTGAAGACCCTGGGGCAGTGAGGGGGCCTTCGCAAGATCTCCCCCACCCCACCATTCACCCCAGCATCCTAAGATCTCCCTCCTTCAGGTGGACCTGGGACTAGACCCCAAGTCTTTCTGACCCATCCCACTGAGACAGCAGAGCAGCAGGAGCTGCTCCCCTGGGTTCCCCACCAAAGCTTTCTCCCTTCACAGACTGTGGGCAGTGATGGTGCTACTCGAATATCCAAGTGTGAGAGGTAAGCCTTTCAGCAGTCAGCCAGATTTCTGACCTGTGACCATCTTAACCCCATTAGGGAACACCCATGGTTAGGCAGGACCTGCATACGGATGGTCAGGGGATAGAGATGCTTTCCTGGAACAGGGAGAGTCCTGGTGCCTCTGAGAATGATGAGTCTTGGGTGGAGGAACTTCAGGATGTCATAGCCCAGCCCAGTACCCAAGAATAGAGAAAGGGATGGCCTTTGACTATGGAAAAGCCAGAGGCTGGCAGATACAAGATTCCGGGTCAGTTGTGCCTGGGAGGGGTGGAAAGGGAGGGAAATGCTTTTTGAGCTCCAGTACCTACCAGGCTTAATCTAAGCACAGTAAATGAACTATCTCAGGATTTTGCAAATTCAAGTAATTCACAGACCCTTTTATTTTTATTACATGATATATGCATACAGTATAAAACTCAAAAGGCAGCTCTTGTTGACATGATAATGTTTCAGCATCTTATTGCTATTGTAAATGGGGTCTTGTTCCCATTAGATCTTCCAACTAGTTGATTAAAATAATGCACACATAACATATATAAATTTTCATGTTACTAAGTTTCTTTTCTGTTTGTAACAGTTTTTCATTTGATCTCTTTGAATATCTGAGTAAATAACCATATTATCAACAAATAATTATAATTTTTGCTTCCTTCTTTCCAATTTTTATGCCACATTCCTTTCTCTTGTCTAATTGCATTGGCTAATAGCTCCAAAGCCATGCTAAATAATACTGATAAAGATGTCCTTGTATTGTTCCTAACTTTAATATAAATGCTTCTAGTGTTTCTCCATTAAGCATGATGTTTTTATTAGGTTAAGGCATATCTGTTTTATCATGTTAGGAAAGCATGTATTTATTCCTATTTTATCAAGACTTATACTGAGAATAAAATGTTAAATTTTATCATTTCTCATTTCACCTGTGCAAATTTCACATGCTTTTTCTTTTTCATCTATTAATAAAACATTAACAGATTTCCTAATATTGAGCTATTTTTGCAGTATTGGAATAAATCCCAGTTGATGTATTATTCTTTTAATATGATACTCTTTGATAATATTTTTATTTTGGAGTTTTGTATCATTATTCATAAATGAAATTCTCCTATATGATTTTTATGCTTTACTTTGTCAGTTTGGTATTTGTGTTAGACTTATTAAAGACAACTTTTATCTTCACTTCTTGTAATAATGCAATAAAAATTTGCTTTGTAGTCCAAAACAGGTTCCATTTAAAGAAAATAATTCTAATTACCCAGTGTTGATTTAAATTATTTTTATTAAAAATTTACTTAAAGATGTATAAACATCAAACTACATGTACATGACTTCTGCTTATAGCATTTATACTATAATCCAAATAAATGTGGATAAAGTAAATAAAAACAAAGCAGTCAAACAGTAAAGCAATGGTCATTGAAACTAATATTCAAACGTACAACTTTAATGTGATGGGTGTTTTTGTTTTGCTGAAATTAAATCATTAATGTTGGGATTATAGGAAAAAACTGTAGGTTCACATTAGGTTCAGTAATTAATTTATTTTTTTAACTTTAACACAAAGACTGCCAGTTCATATACATTTATTGGACAACACTTGATTAAAGTCTTTGTTTACCAGTTCAAGACGGTCAACTTCATTCTTAACCAAAACTCTGCCAGGTGACAATTGAGAGATCTATAAATTGTTGGATTCACCTGAAAAAAATTAGCATTACAGCATTATGGAAATCTTCACTGAATACATACCTATCTACTTACTACTGAAACCCTAGTCTGAAAAATTCTTCTTTGGATATTTGCTACCATAGTGGGTATTTACTACATTACTGTGAATGAACTTTGGAAAGCTGTTACTACAAAGACAGAATCCCACACCTCTACGTGCAGGGCAGATACGCCCCTGACCGCTACAGAGCAGGAACTTTGGAGCTTGACGTGCCTGTGTGAGAAGAGCTGTGGGCCAATTAGAGGCCAATTCAGTGAATGATCAAGCCATCAAAGTGGTCAAATCTATCCATTTACCAGAAACTTCTTTCTTTTAACTGTGTATAAAGCTTAAAGCAATTCGTACTGGATAGTCTGGTTTAACAGCTTTTGAAGATTTCTGTCTTTTTTGTTGACAGGATTCCATTGTTTCCTCCTAAAAGCACCTAAGACAATGTTTGACTTTTCTCTACTCAGCTCCCTGTGAGGAGAAAAAAGGAGAAGTCAGTTCACAGGACAGCCTGAATTGGTGATTCCTGAAAGGCGGAGGTCGGGGGGGCAGAGAGGTGAGGAGACTGACAGGCAGAGTGAGGAGGAGACTGAGGGTCAGGGAGGCAATCCGAAGCCAGAACCCTGGAGTCTTTGCTCCCCAGGGTTCTCATAGGCCCTGTTGATCCATTTGATTCACATTGTTATAAACTTTATCAATCATTGATAGAAGTACAGATTTTATCAATTTAGCATATTCAGCACGTTGATCATTCAGTGATTTGCTTGTATGGGAAACGGATTCATCTGTAAACTGTTTTTCAGCAAACCAGTTTAGATGAGTTGACCTTTGGGCAGGTTGATGTGAGCCTTACTGCTTAATGGCTAAGAAATTTGGCTTTGGGGCCAGCTGCCTGCGTTAAGCCCTCACGCCACTTACTGGCTGTCTACTCTTGAGCAGGGTCGTGACCTCTCAGAGCCTCAGTCTCCCCATCTGTAAAAGTGGAGTAAGCAAGGACTGGCCAAGCAGCATAGTGGTTAAGTTTGCACACTCTGCTTCGGGGGCCCAGGGTTCACAGGTTTGGATCCCAGGCACAGACATACACACCACTCATCCAGCCATGCTGTGGCAGCATCCCACATACAAAATGGAGGAAGACTGGCACAGATGTTAGCTCAGCAGCAATCTTCCTCAACAAAAACAGGAAGATTGGCAACAGGTGCTAGCTCAGAGCCAACCATTCTCACCAAAAAAAACAAAGTGGAGTAATCAAGGGCCTCCCTTCTAGAGTTGTTGGAAGAGTCAACGAGTTAACACACTCACAGCCTCAGAGCAGCACTTGCATCACCAGTGCTCAGTACATCTTATTACTGTCATTCTGCCCTCCCCGCCTGAGGGCTAGTCCTCCCACTTGTCTCCTCTATGTGAACCATGCACTGGACAGTCCCTGTCAGGACCACCGTCTGTGTCATCATCTGGTCCTCCTGTGAAGATGCTTTAACACGAAAGCAAGCAGAGCCCTGAAAATGCCTGTAATAAGGTAGTCACTGCAGGATCCAGAACATGCGTGTGTTAATGTTCAGATATCATCAAAATGAAAGCATGAAATATACACATTCTAACGCAGCTCTTGCAGGTCCCTGAGGCTACCAGGCACACCAGTTTGGGAAACACCATTCTAGGAGCAACGGACCCAGACAGGAAAGACAGCAGACAAAAGAGCAAGAGGGGCGGGGTTGGGGGAGGCCCAGGAGCCACAAGGATGTCACGCCACATGGCTGGCCCAGGCTGAAGGGAGGAGGGGAAAAGGAATGGAATCCCACAGGGCATTCCTCGAGGAACAGGAATACTCCACTCAGCGGAGACGGTCTCCATGTGGTTTTCACAGAACTGGAGCAGATGGAGCAGACGGGGTTCTCAAACTCTTGTTCCCCAAAGTTCCTGCTCTCTTCCTACGCTGCCCAGGCCACTGTGGGACCAAACAAAGAATACAGCCATTATATCTAGTTCTCTGACTCCTGTGCTGAGTTCAGCGTCCTGACAGAAAGCAAAGTCAAAAGGAATCTAAACACGTGTCTACTGAGGCAAAGAGCAAAATAAATAGGAAGACCTCAATCAAAGATGAAAAAGCAGAAAAGGAAAAAATAAGACCTACACAAAAAATTCATCCTCCAAAATAAAGGAAAGGAAGAACAGTTTTCAAAAGACTGACGGAACCAGAGATGAAAGATGAACTAAGATATCAGAATATGATTGGGGGAGGGGCAAAGAAAACAATCAAAGGGAAAAGTAATTCTTTTGCAGATTTAAAAATGCAGAGACTAAAATCAGCACTACAGGGAACCATATCAATGATGTGGAAGACAAGATAAGAAAATAATATAAAAAATAAGAGGAAAGCAATTAGAGCAAAGAAGAGCAATATGGAATGACAATGGAGATCAAATGCATGGATAACTAGTGTCCTCCAAGAAGAGACAGAAGGAATGGAGAGGAAAAACTACCATGACCAACACCATCCATTTCCTCCCTCAAGCCACCCCTCTTCTCACCAACAGAACCCTGCTTGGTTCAGCTGTCAAGAGAGAGAGCGGGTATCAAGGATGGGGCGGGGGGATTCCCCTGACCTCACGGTGGGCGTGTGACCTCGTTCTGGCCAAGGATATGTAAGAAAAGTTTACTAGGGGCTCCTGAGAATGACTTCCACCCTGACAAGAGGAAGGAGGCTGAGGAGAAGCTCCCGCCCCACACTTCCCCTGGCTCCTGCCTCTGAAAGTGGCTGTGTGAGAATGTGGTGCTTGAAACTGTTGGAGCCTTCTCAGAGCAGAGGGGAGGTCAGGAGGTGGCAGAGTCTGACCCAGGGCCCTGGCACCCCTGAGCGCTGATCCAAACCCAGCCACAGCTTATCTCTGAGCCTAGAAATCACCAGGGGAGCAGCAAGAGTGATGTTACAGATGCGGGAAGGAGCAGCGTGTGGACAGGTGAAAGGGAATGCTTTTGGAGTTTGCTGGTTGGTTTGCATCTGCTAAGTTATAGAGCACAGAGAAGGAGGGGCTGGAGAATAAGTTGGGCACGGTCATGGAAATTAGGTTTGGACTTCTTGTTCAAGATGTTCATGAACAAGGTAGATGCATGTGTTTCCTCTCCTTCCGCAGAACCTTAAAACCATACTGAATCTATTTTGATTAAGTGTATAAATCACAGCATCAAAGAGAGACAGGAATAACTAGTCGGCAGACCAGAGATTCCTGGAGTTTCAGAGCGAGAAGGAAGAGGGCAGCCTAGCAGGGCAGAGCCAGACCCCAGACCAATGACGTCAGCATCTCTGGGCTAGTGCCCAGGAACAGTATTTTTTTAACGGTCCCGTTGAGCCCAATGTGCAGCCACGTTTGAGAACCACTGACCTGGGATACAAACAGAGGGGCACAGAAGGGGATAGAGATGTACGCCCAGAGGAACCCACAGGGGCTCTGAACTCATAGGCCCAGGTAGGACGGAGGGTGGGGTGAGAACGGGGCTGAAACAGGGAGAATAGTGGGAGGTCTGTGCATGGAATAGTCAACCCCCAACCCTCTGTCCACCTCCAGGCATGGACCGTCATGGAGCTAGGCATTTCCTTCTCAGACATTAACAAAGGAGAGCTCTTCTAAAACCAAAACCAAAGCCAAGAAACTCTGAATACACTGTCTGGAGAGAACTCGGGCAGCTTGTGTGGGCACAGGAGCCTCAGGAAAGCCCACCTCATTCTGACATTTAGGGGTTCCCCAGCATAGAAGCCAGCTCCCTGTCCTCACCCTAAATTGGAGCCTGATGCCCACAGAGCTGCTTGGCTCATTTATAAATGTAAGAGGAATACCAAGGACACCAGGACCAGCCCCCTGCACCTGAGCCCCGGCTGTGAGGCTGTCCCTGAGCCAGCCCAACATCTGCAACA